AAATAAATTAAGTCTTGGGGATGAGGAGGGCTGGTGGCTGGTGGTTGAATCCAGAAGTGGGGGTTGAATCCTTCCAACTGAGCTGTATCCCCAGGCCTTTTTTATTTTTTTAAATTTTGAGACAGAGTCTCACTACACTGCAGAGTTGCTCAAGTGTGGCTGGAACTTGACATCCTCCTGCTTAGCCTCGCAGATGTTGGCATTACAAGCATACAACACCATACCTGGCTGTTTTATCATCTTGACTTGTCCTGCTCTTCCTCACATGTTTTTGGATTACTGGACATACTAGGATTACGTTTATTTTTTTATTTGGTACTGGGAATTGAACTCAGGACCTCGCGCCTGTCAGGCAGATGCTATGCTGCTGAACTACACCCCAGCCCTAGGGTTAGGTTTAACTGTGACTAAAACCCCCCATTTTTTTTTTTTAATTGTTGTTTTCTGTTACTAGATTGAACCCAGACTTGTTTATGCTAGATGTGCAGCTCCCACTGAGCTACATCTCAGACTTTTTTTGTTTGTTAATTTTTTAAAAAAAATATTTATTTATTTAGTGTGTGTGTGTGTGTGTGTGTGTGTGTGGCCAGCTCAGCCCACCAGGGGGCGGGGCTGGCGGGCATGTGGTGCTGGGGATTGAACCGGGGTCCCTGTACTTTGCTTAGCTTAGCTTGTTCTAAGTAGGTGCTTTAGACCACTGAGCCATCTCACCAGCCCCATTGTTTGTTAATTTTTTTTTGAAATAAGGTCTCGCTATGTAGTTCAGGCTGACTTTAAACTTGTTCTGTAGCCCAGGCTGGCCTTGAACTCATGGTGATCCCCTGCCTCAGCCTCTTGAGTGCTGGATTATAGACACGTACCACCATTCTGAGCATATCAATGCAATTTTCACTCAGAAATCTCTTCTTCGGTTATATCTATTTGTACTAGATTCATCACTTAATTTTTTTTTTTTTTTTTTTTTTGGTGGAACTGGGGATTGAACTCAGGCTCTTACGCTTGCCAGGGAAGCGCTTATTCAACTGAGCTATTTCCCCGGCCCCTCATCACTTAATTTTAATTCTGAAGGATTATATTTTTCATGCCATGCTGCCTCAGTTTGCAGCATCAGCCTGCCTTTTCAAGGAGACTCGCCATGTTTGGCTTCCCTCCTTTCATGCATCTGTACTGTGTTCTGTGGATGTCATGGTGCTGGAACTGCCCAGTGTCGGGGGTGCCTTTTGTGTGCCCATCCTCTGTGGTTTCTCTGGCTGTTAATCTGTGACAATTTGTTCTGGCTTCCTGTTAGATGAATTTAGGGCATGGGGTTCGTGCCCTGGCTCAGCCTTTCTTGTTTGCCCTCTCCCATCTTTCCTCTCCTAGGACCCCAGCACCCTTCCTCTGGGGCTTTTTCTAGGGGCAGCCATTCCCAGGCATGCTGGCATCCAATGATACTCTGGTGAATATCTGGGGGCTCCAGGGTGGCCGTTTGTGCCCCACAGCTCTTGCTGTGGTGGTGTTTTCATCTTGTCCCTGAGGGCCAAAGTCAAGCAGTAGGATCTTGAGGGCAGTTGTGTAAGTGGGGAAGGACTTCCTTCCTCCCCGAACTTTACACACCCCAGGCTCGCCTCCAGGGATGTGTAGAGCCTGTGAACACAGCCAGCTTGCAGCCATTCAGGAGAGCACTGGGAATAATGCCCAAGTCACCGTCCCCTGCAGACAAGGCCAGGGCCTTCCCCGGGGAGCATGCAGCAGCCCATGTGGGGGGGGGGCAGATTCTTGAGCATGCCCCATCTAATGTGCTGCTGCTTTGCAAGCTGCACATTCACACAGTGGTGGACCAGCCTGCCTATGGGTGGAGAACTTTAGTATTACAATAAGTGAAGTTTGTTCTGGGTCACTCAAAGGGTGAGACTGGATGGCACTGTGGTTTTGGCTGGTTCTTTGTAAGTTTTTCCCTTCTGGTCCTGTAAAGGGGCAGCAGCTTTTCCTGCAAGTATAACTAATGAGCCCTGGAGGCACTTGCACGCAGCCAGCTTCTGCTAGTGTTTGTGTGACTGAGCTGGGGGCTCGGCCCACAGCTCATTTCCCTCCCTGGCAGTAGGAAAGATGGGAAGCAAGAAACATGAAGATCAGGGCATGGGACAGCTGCTAATGGGACAGTCCATGGGCACGAATTTGATACAGGTAGGGTTAGTCAGGTATGTTTCTTTTTTTGGAGGGGGCGGTACTGGGGATTGAACTCGGGACCCTGCGCTTGCCAGGCAAGCACTTATTCTACTGAGCCATCTCCCCAGCCCTCAGGCATGTTTCTATTATTTCCATTTCTGTTCATGAGATTTCAGACTGTCAAAGTATTTTCCTTTGGATTCATAAACTTTAAGGACTTCATCCTTGGGAGATAATTGTGATATGTTAATGGTCATCTATAATGCTGGGTATTGCAGTATTGTTTGTAATGTTTAAAAATGTCCGGGCTGGTGAGATGGCTCAGTGGTCTAAAGCACCTACTTAGAACGAGCTTCACAAAGCAGAGGGACCGCGGTTCAATCCCCCAGCACCACATGCCAGCCAGCCCTGCCTCCTGGTGGGCTGAGTTGGCCACACACACATACACACACACAAATAAATAAATAAATAAATTTTTTTTTAAAAATGTCCTCTGTGGGGGCCTGCCCCTTAGCTCAGTTCTTTAAGTGGCTGCTTCAACAAAGCAGGCAGGCTCAGGTTGCTGTGGTTTGATCCACAACTCAAGCCAGCCAAACCTGCCCTCAAGGCATTGGGAGCAAAAAATAAAATAAAATATAAATAAATAAATAAATAAATAAATATGTCCTTTATCTATTTGGGGAGCTAGCTCAGTGGCATAGCGCCTGCTTGGCAAGTGCAAGGGGTCCTGTGTTTGATTCTCAGTACCAGAAAAAAAAAAAAAGATTACATTGAGGGAACCCACAAAGTTAGTGCATACCCAATTGTGTAAAGTTTTGTAATACTTATAAAAGATACCATAAATGCAGGCACTTTAGTGCACATGTGGAATCCCAGCACTCTGGGAGGCCAAGGTAGAAAGAGTGCAAATTCAGGTGAAGTCCGGGTAATCTAGTGACATAGCAAGACCCTGATCAAAGTAAAAAACATAAAAAGGGCTAAGAGTTAGCTCTGTGAAAAGTCCTTGGGTTCAATCCCTAGTATGGCCTCCACTTATAGAAGGTTATTCAGTGAAATAGAGAAATGTTTGTAATACAGTGAGGGAAGAAGGAAAAGCAAATTATAATATACACAATAATCCTTTATCATATTAAATATGTGCAGGTTGTCTCTGCAGGTGATTTTCTTTTTTCCTGTGTTTTCACAATTTTGTATAATAAATATTGTTTTATGCACACATTATCACTAAAGTAGGCCAAGCATGGTGGCACATGCCTGCAGTCCCGCCATTTGGGAGACAGGCAAGAGGATCACTGCGCCTTGGAGACCAGCCTGAGCTACATAATGAGTTCAAGGCCACTCTGAACAACATAGTGAGACCCTGTCTCAAAAAAACAAAACATAATCAGTAAAGAGATTATAAAAAGGTAATGGTAGGGCTGGAGAGATGGCTCAGTGGTCTAAAGCACCTACTTGAAACAAGCTTGGCAAAGCACAGGGACCGCGGTTCGATCCCCAGCACCACATGCCAGACAGCCCGCCCCCTGGTGGGCTGAGCTGGCCACACACACACACAATAAATAAATGTAATAAATAAAAATAAATAAATATTAAAAAAAAAAAAAAAGGTAATGGTAAAGCCAAATGTTGGTGTGGTGCTGTGAAACTGGTACATCAACATGCTGTTACAGCCCTATTTTATTGTTTGTGGTGGTAGGGTTGGAATGCACTGCCTCGTCCATGCAAGACAAGGGGCTTGGCCACTGCACCATGCCCCCTCCTGCCATGTCCTTACACAAAGCGGTGACATATGGTGTATTTCACAACCAATGTTATGGGGTCTTTTTGGGTTTTCTTGTTTTGTTGAGACATTGTCTTCCTATATAGTCCAAGCTGGCCCTAACTCACTGTGTAGTCCAGTCACACTCATGGTGATCCTCCTGCCTTACTCTCCTGAGTACAACAGTCCCTTGCTGTTTTGTGGCTTGACTTTCACAGACTCACTGTTTCGTGGGTTTTCAAAAAAAATATTTATTGCAGATTTTTTGCTAAATTGTGGGATTTTGTGGTAGTGTGCAGTACCGTATACATATTTATATGCATAGTATTTATGATTTTAATTATTTTTGTCTAAACATTTTAAAATATATAAAAGTATGTTTAAAATGTTAATTCTAACGTATTAGTACATTAAATCAAAATAAAATGCACTGTTCACAGTATATATTTCATCAGATGAATACATACTGTATCATACAGTATATATGTTAAAGTTATGTAGGTTTACAAGTTTAAGAAATGCTTAAGAACATTAGAAGTGTTCTTAAAAGTGTGGGAAGGGTTTGTAAAGCCTTAAAATATATATAAATACTAAAGTAAGTATAACGTCACTATTTCATTGATTTTCACTTCTCAGGGTGTCTGAAACGTGACCTCTGCCATAAGTGAGGGATCACTGTGCTGAGATTATGTGTGTGTATAATATATACATGTATATGTATATATAATATATGTGTGTGTATAATTATATATATATTTTTTCTTGTGGGGGGAGGCTCTATAGGGTTTTCAGGGCACACTGGTAGATTGGACTGTAGTGATCCGCCTGTTTACAGCTTCCCAAGAGCTAGGATTGTAGGCAAGTGCCACCACACCCAGTCTCAGTTGCTGCCTCAGCACATCCTGGGGGCAAGGCTGCCCATGCACCTGCTTGCAGGTGCTTTAATCTGCTGAGCTATTTGGCCAGCCCTCTGAGATTGTAGGCTCACTATGCCTCGCTCTGTTTATACTTTTGATTTTTTTTTTTTTTTTTTTTGTAGAACCGGGGATTGAACTCAGGTCCTTGCACTTGCCAGGGAAGCGCTTATTTTACTGAGCCATCTCCCTAGCCCCCTCTGTTTATACTTTTGAAACTAAAAATCTGTCTGAAGGAGATAATTCAGAAATAAAGGGAATGTTGAGTATTAGGGCTTTATACCAAGAAAGTAGTCATAAACACAGTCATAGTCCCTAGAGTATTATATAATGGTTAAAAATAGGTTTTGCGCTGGGTGTGGTGGTGCACACCTATAATCCCAGCACTGGGGAGGCTGAGGCAGGCGGATCCTTTCAAGTTCTGGGCTACAAAAAGAGCTCAAGGCCAACCTGAACACGTAGAGAGACCCTGTCTCAAAAAGATCAAAAAAAAAGTTTACGTGACATATGTAATAAAAAGCAGAGTATTTATAATTATATTGAAATTACATCTGCCTGTGAATAATGAAGGTAAGGACAAAGCCTAGTGATGTAGTTCAGCAGTAGAGCACTTGTCTAACTTGCACAAGGCCTTGTTCTATCCACAGGGCTGAAAAACAACAGTAAGGACACACATAAATACATAGCTGATTACTGGGTGTGGTGGTGCATACCTGTAATCCCAGCACTTGGGAGGCTGAGGTAGGAGGATCTTTGGGAGTTTGAGCCCAGCCTGAATTGCATAATGAGACCCTATCTGAAAAAGACTGGGGGGAAAAAAAAAGCTGATTTATGCAGAAGCCCAATTGTGCTATTGATACAGCTCTAATAATTAACATGTATGCAGGGTATGAACTGGTAAATTGGAGGTGACCCAGATTTATACATTTAGCTTTTAAAATGCTGTCACTTGCAAGAGCTTGGATTATTTCCTTCACTGTAGCTGGCTGATTGCAAGCTACCACTTACGTGTGGTTCCGCTGCCCACATAAGCTACATCCTGCTTGATGGGAATGATGTTAAAGGCACAGGCAGACATACAGTGATCATTTGGGATGCATCGGGGTGACCCTTCAGCAGTAGAACTACTGAGGCGTCCTTCTGTCCTGTGCTGCGTTCATGACAGACACAGAGACCCCCTTTTTCCCACTAGGGGTCCATCCTTCTGCTGGCTGTTGAGACAGGCTCTTCTCAGATGAACGTTGTGTTTCTTGCCCTTGCACGCAGGAAAGGGCTGTGAGAGCAAGTGGTAAGAGCGGAGCCACAGGGAGCTTAGGAGAGGTGAAAGCACTTGCTGCTCACTTTATTTATTTATTTATTTATTTATTTTTGCGGTACCAGGGATCAAACTCAGGACTTTGCACAGCCAGGTTTGCTGCTCACTTTTGATTCAGCTTCTTCACCCTAGAAGTATTCGTTTTACACACGATGCCAAGGCTTGAGGAGCACGTTGGCCAGGATTCTGTTATCCTTGGCTCCCTGGAATCTCAGCCCCTCTTCTGCTCCCTGTTAATCCTACTCCCCCAACTGTTACGGGTTCTTACATAGCAGAGAACCTTTCTCCCTCTTTGTGGGTCTCCTGCTTGGCTCTGTCATATTCCTCTTGTTTTCCTTTTCTAGAAAGAAAAGTCAAAATCGAACAGTTCAGCAGCCCGGGAACCTAATGGCTTTCCCTCTGATGCCTCAGCCAATTCCTCTCTCCTTCTTGAATTTCAGGGTGAGTTGCATCTGTATGTCTTCCTGCAGGAAAAAAGAAACTTAGATCATCTCTCAAGAGTAAGGCTAGGGGCCGGGGAGATGGCTCAGTGGAATAAGCGCTTCCCTGGCAAGCATAAGGGCCTGAGTTCAATCCCCGGTTCTGCCAAAAAAAAAAGATTTAAAAAAAAAAAAAGAGTAAGGATAGTTTGCGTGCCATCTCCTTCCCTATGGTTCTGCTGGCATTTTTCTAGGTGCGTCACACAAGGTTCTTCATTCACATCTCACAGTAACTCTGCAAGGTAGATGGCAGTAGCCTCATTTTTCCATTGTAGGAAACTGAAGTGATGGGTAGTTAACACAACTGATACATTGCAGACCCTGTGTTGGGGCCTGATGTTCTGGCCTGAAGCTTGCTTTTCTTGAGTTGGTATAGTTATGTCTTAGAGTCAGCCACCCAAGGAAGACTTTGCATCTTCCAACCCATCCTGTGTCAGCCCTGGAACCACAGTCCCACGTTTTAGTGCTCTTTCCAGCTACATGGCAGTCATTGTTATTGAAGCACTTTATTTCTGTTTCTCATTTTTATCTATCAGCCTGTGATAGGTAGTTATTATCATCCCCAATTAGGAAACTGATGCTCAGACAAGAGTGCCATAGCTCACAGTGACAGAGCATTAATCTTTTTATAATAAGACCTGGTTTAGTAGAGGATAGAGGTCTTTGTAGAAGTGAAGACCACAGTGGGCCTACAGCCTTCTCCTTGGACCAAGACTTAGAGTTGGCTCAGCACGCAGCAGTCTCCTGCCCCACCCAGTCCCACCCTGCCCAGATTAGTGGCTCACGGGAAGGAGAATCCAGAAGGTGCTCCTCAGGCTGTGTACATGTGTTTAATAATCCCAAGTGTCTGGACGGCTTACGAGGCTGAATTTCCTGTCTGGTCTCTGTCTCCTCTTCATTCAGGAAATGGCTAATGAGCTCCTGCTATGTGCCAGGTACTTACTGTGCATTAAACATGCACAGTTGTGTGAAGCAGTGCACGCAGGTACACAGGTCCCAAGAGAGGCATCACAGAGAGTGTGAGCTCTTCCCCCACATGAGCAAGGAGCAGGACCACTGCACTGCAGGTGTAGGGCTTTCCAGCGAGCCTGGGCAAGGAAGTCATAGCAGCACAGAGGACCGTGTGTGGACGAGCCCTTGGGTTAGCGTGGAGCTTGCTGAGGCCCAGGCAGAACAGCAGGCAGTAAGGCCAGAAATCAGCTAGACTTCGCATGTGGTGGTGGGGCCATCTCAAGTGCGCCCTAAGAGACTTCCTGTAGGTGGTAGGGACCATGCAAGGGTTTGGATCAGTCACTCTGGCATGGTGAGGACAGGGTACTTAGTGGCTATCACAGAAGCCTATATAAGGGACAATGAGGGGCTGGGGTTATAGCTTGGCAGCATAAACACCTGCCTGGCAAATGCAAGGTCCTGAGTTTGATCCCTGGCACCAAAATAAATAAATTAATAAATGAGACAGTGAGGCCTCAGGACTGGGGATTTAGCTCAATAGTAGAGTGCTTGGGCCTATGCACAAGACCCTAAATTCAATCACCAGTACCACAAAGAAGAAAACAAAAGACAATGAGGCCTGAACTAAGGCAGCAGGAGAGGACAGAGCAGGTACAAGTGAGCTCAGAACAGGAGACGATGTGGATTGGGTGGCCAGCCCTGGAGGGGAAGAAGAGGACAGAGTTGTGGTTGTTAGCATAACCCAGACTTCTCATGGTGTATTGGTGCTTAGAATGTGTGGTCAAGTAGAAAGTGCTTAATCAATCCCCTTAGACTCTGCAGACAATTGGCAGTGCACAGAAGCCCCTCGGGCCCCCTTTTCAGGGAGTGTCTGCAACAGCAACACTGTGCGAAAGGCTGCCTGTGCAGACGCTAGCTCCCTAGCTGTGGACTGAGTTTCCCTTGAACATTTCTGCCTCAACTGGTGCCCTTGCTGTGTTTGGTTTTCAGACGAAAACAGCAACCAGAGTTCCGTGTCTGATGTCTATCAGCTCAAGGTGGACAGCAGCACCAACTCGAGCCCCAGCCCCGAGCAGAGCGAGTCCTTGAGCCCTGCACACACCTCTGACTTCCGCACTGATGACTCCCAGCCCCCCACTTTGGGCCAGGAGATCCTTGAGGGTGAGTTGTGGGTGACTCAGGACAGCATCACAGAGGGGCCTCTCTCTGGCCTGATTTTTCTCTTTTAATGCCAGCACTTGGGAGACTGAAACAGAAGGTTTGCAAGTTTGAGACCATCCTGGGCTACACAGTGAGTTCAGAGTTGGACTAGACTATAGGAGTCTCTTCCTGGTTTTCCTCTCAGTCTAAGAAGTTAATATTTGTAATCCCAAAGATACATTATTGGAATCCCACCAAGTTAATTTCAATCTACCACTCCCGCAACCCACAGCAAAAGTAAGGACACTAAAGTATATTTGTAATTTTTTTTTAAATTTTTTTAATTTATTTATGTGTGTGTGTGTGTGTGTGGCCAGCTCAGCCCACCAGGGGGCGGGGCTGGCTGGCATGTGGTGCTGGGGGATTGAACCGCGGTCCCTGTGCTTTGCCAAGCTTGTTCCAAGTAGTGCTTTAGACCACTGAGCCATCTCACCAGCCCCAGTATATTTGTAATTATTAGGGAGCCAAGGGGCCTAAAATCCAGCCACAAAGATGGCTTTCTGGAACAGAGAGGCTGACCCAGGGCCTCACCCGGTTTTATTCAGTGGAGGAGTCGTTTGAGGAGGAATGACTGAGAATTATGGGAAGTAGGTAACTACTGTGAGCTGAGCTAGGTGGGTGGCCTACATTTACCTCTCCCATATGCAGAGAGGATATGCAGAGACAGTAATCTGCTTTATGCTATTGAGATAGTATCTAATGTTTTGGGGGGGTCTGGTGCTTCAGTTTTGATGTAGTCTTTCAAGCCCCAGGAAGTCACAGTCTCTGTCTCGATCCCAGCTGGTGAGGCTCAATCCCAGCTGGTGGCGCAGAGCATTGGCTCTTTGTCCTGTCTTGACCCTGCTCACATCAAGGAGCAGCAGGTGTAGGTTACAGGGAAATACACTTGCCACCTTCAAAGACTATCACTAGCACCTCAGCTAACCAATATATATTGCTTAAGGCCAATTGAAAGGATAAACAGAAGTCCTAGCCAGCTCTGTACAGAACAATATGAGGAAATAGGGTCAGGCTCAGTCAAAATGGAGACAGTCACTCTTCTTTCAAGGAGAGCTGCTCAGATGGTCCTCCACACTGGACTAGATAGTGAAACGCAGTCTAAAACTAGTGGAATTAGATGTTACCTTAAGTCTTTCTAATGTCAGAGTTCATACTCTTTGCATTATATTCTGGGATTTGTTAGTATAATAGATGTGTATATGTCTTTGGCCCTTGGTAGCTTTTAGTGTGTGACCTGTTTATAGCAAGCTGCAAAATAGAACTGGTTTCCCTGTGGATAATCCCTAGTGCAGCTTATGTTTGCAGTATACTTACTATTTTTCACTCACGATAGGGCTCCTTCCATGTATTAATTCTCATAGCAGCCCTGTCATCACACTGGACAAGAGTCATGATTGGGATGCCTGGGCTCGCTCCCAGCCTGGCCGGATGGAGGCCTCTGACCCAGCCATACTGCTCCTGTCTACCATCTACCATTAGTGACTGTGGTTCCTCACCAGAGTCTTGGCCCCACTGGGCCACTGTTCCTCTGTCTTCACAATTTCACCTCCCTGTGATTTGTGAGACAGCTCCCTGGGGTGAGGCTGAGATTCTGGGTCTCCTGCCTCTATGAGGCCCACACTGGGGCTGACCTTGCTTTTTCAGAGCCCTCCTTGCCTGCCTCAGAAGTTGCCGATGAGCCTCCCACACTTACAAAGGAAGAACCAGTTCCACGGGAGACCCAGGTAAGGACACCCTTTCGCCTTGCCTGTTCCAGGGCAGGAAGGACAGCTTTGCAGTGAGGTCACAGGGACAGGGTTACATGTCCCAGGTGGGCTGTGGAGCCAAGTGGGCTGCATCTCCAGGTCTTGGGAGGGAAGAAAGTGTCTGCAGGGAGGCACAGGGCAGATCCAGGATATCACTGAGGATGACAGTGAGGGTATGTCGCCACAGGCCTCACCTCTTCTGGCTCTGCTTCTTCTAGATGGCCGAGGAGGAGGAGGACTCCGGAGCCCCACCACTGAAGCGCTTCTGTGTGGACCAGCCTGCAGTGCCGCAGACGGCCTCTGAGAGCTAGCACTGCCCAGTGCACTTCTCCTGGCCCTGCCTCTATTTATTGCGTTCTGGCTCTGGCTGTGCGGTGTCACTAGGGTTAGGGTAGCACCGGGGTCCAGAGCCTGCACATGGGAGTCCTCCAGGCTAGAAGGCCGGCATAGGACCTAGGATTATAGTGTCATCATCCTGTCCCTGGCATCTGTGTCAGCTTGCTTCTGGGAAGAGGAGTGCTTATGTCCTTTTGCACCTGAGCAGGCTGGAGCCTCTGCCATTCCAGGGTCCGTCTGTCACCTCCCAGTAGCATTCTCTGCTCCAGAACCTCTGGGTGGAGCTGCTGGCACTTCTTCAGGAGAAAGAGATGTGGAGGGCACCTCTGAGGAAGAGAGTGCCTAGGTTACTTGAACTTGAACGAAGACTATAGATTGTAGGACTTTCGCTGGGCCTGGCCCCTGTGGTTTCCTTTGGAGGACTGGGTGGAGACATGGTTGGGCTGGGAGAGGCTCCTCTTTCAGGAAAGAAGGGCCTTTCTTGCACAGGGCCACAAAGTCCCTGTAGTTTTCTTGCCATCCTGGCCCTTCTACCTGATCCTCTGGAGGTGCTGCCTCTTCTGGGTGCTCCCGCTGCCCACAGCGCTGTCCCCGTTACTCTCCTGGCCCCTCACATACGCACACACGCAGCTTCCTGTCTTCACCTGTACGTTTCATTCCAGTATCCCCTGCCTCCTGCTACTACCCCAGCAAGGATCGAGGTTCTGACAACAGTACCCATCCTCCACAGTACTCATCAGCTCAGACTTTCTAGAAAGTTCCTTTTTTTTTTATTTGAAATCTGCATGTTTAATTGAACTTTATGATTTTATTTTTTGTTTAAAAGAAGTTTAAGAAAATGAAAATGGGCAACAGCAAGTGAAGACTTATTTTAGCACTGAATAGAATATTTTTAAAATTAAACTATTTGAAATATGTCCTGTTGGCACTTGAGTTCTTCATTCTCAGAGGTGAAGGGATGGCGTGGCAAGGTGGCCGAGCACCTGTGCTGTCATGTGGCAGGGTTCTCGTGTTGGCACAGCATGAGAAGCCTCTGAGATTCCCTTTGGGGTTGGTGGCTCCTCTGAGTCCTACACTGAGTGCAATCAGGTGCTTGGGACAGATTCCTGAGTTTACTTTTTTTTTTTTTTTGCTCCGAATGCCCTCAGGTGGTTTGGCTGGCTGGAGTGTTGTGGGCATCGAACTACAGCAACCTGAGGCTGACAGCTTTGTGGAAGCAGCCACTTAAACAACTGAGCTAAGGCCAGGCCCCACTGAGTTTACTTTTTGAAATTGTGGTAAAATACATGTAAACGTAAGATACCCATTTAAATTTTTTTTTTTTTTTTTTTTTTTTTTCAGAACCGGAGATTGAACTCAGGCCCTTGTGCTTGCCAGTGAAGCGCTTATTCTACTGAGCCATCTCCCTAGCCCCTGTATTTTTTAGAGAAGGGTCTACAGGGCATTCAGGGTCTCACTACTAGATCAGACTTGTAGTGATTCTCCTGTTTACAGCCTCCCAAGAGCTGAGATTACAGGCGCATGCTACCATGCCTGGTCTCAATTGCCATGGGGGCAAGGCTGGCACGGCATGTCCAGAGATCGAACCCTGGCCCCTATGACTGCTTGCAGGCGCTTTAATCTGCTGAGCTATTTGGCTGGCCCAAAAGGATTTTTTTTTGTGGGGGGGAGTGGGGGCTCGGGCTGCCTGAAGAGCAGGTCTGGTTAGGCAGGTGGAAATGGGGATCGAACCGAGGTCTCCTGCTCCTGACTGCCTTTGCATGAGAAGGCGCTTAAACAACTGAGCTAAAGGCAAGCACCCCTAAAATTTAGTTTAGGTGTTTTGAGACAGGTTCTCTATCTAATCCAAGCTGGCTTGGAACTCACTGTGTAGCCCAAGCTGGCCTGAAACTCACTGTGCTCTTCTTGCCTTTGCCTCCTGTAAGTGCTGGGCTTACAGGACTGGGCCACTACACCCAGCTTTTAAATTATTTTAAAGAACACATTGGACTGGTAATAAATACATTCATGATGGTATAGTCATCTCTGCGATATAGCTCTGAACTTGGTCACTACTCCAGACAAAAACCTTGTACAAGCCTGGCATGATAGCCCATGCCATAATCCTATCTACTCAGGAAACTGCAGGAAGATCACCGTGCTCAAGTCCTGCCTGGGAGAGCTAATGAGACTCTTACCTCAAAAAAATTTTTTCTGAGTAAAGGATTCGCTTTGTAGTCCAGTCTGGCCTTAAATTTACTATGTAACCCGGGGGGCAGGAGGCTTGAACTCACATCAGTCCTACTGCCTCAGCCTCTCAAGAGCTGGATTTTTTTTTTTTTTTTTTTTTTTTGTGTGTGTGTGTGTGTGTGTGTGTGTGTGTGTGTGTGTGGTACCAGGGCTTGAACTCGACCTTATGCTTGCCAGGCAAGTGCTTATTCTATCGAGCTATCTCCCGAGCCCAAGTGCTGGATTTTTATGGTGTGGGCCATTGTACCCCGCTTCCTGTGTCAAAATTTTTAGAAGGGCTGGGGCACCTTGGTTTTAGTTTCCTTGGGTTCATTCCGTAGAACCACAGAACAAAGCAATAGCAAAAAGTCATACTCAGCAAGTAATTATTCTCAATTTATCCCTCCCCTCAGGCTTGGGCAACCATAAATTTTTCTATCTTGAGTTCTTTTTGTTCTTGATTCTAAAGGAAAAAGAGTCATGATTGGAAAGAAGCCAGCATTCTGTATGGTTTAAGTTTCATTTTGGTATACTCTGAAGCAACTCAGGGGCTTCAGTATGGGATACGATGAGACTAGAATGGAAGTTCCACTACCTATTACGCCACCCTCGTTTGCTTTTTCTTAAAGTTTACGTAACATGTAAGGTACAGTGGCTCATGCCTGTAATCCCAGTACTTGAGAGGCTGAGGCAGGTGGATTGTGAGTTTGATGCAAACCTGGGGAACAGGGAAATCAAAGCCAGTCTGGACTACATATAGCCAGACCATGTCTAAAAATGCCAAATACCAAACAAAACAAGCAAATAAGAAAGGGGACTATGTATGGGGCTCAGTGCTCCCTGGTTTCATTCTACAGGGCTGCAAAGAGAAAAAAAAAAAATAACATACTGTTACCAAATGAGTGGTACATAAGATTATTTTATCAAATGAGTGGTACATAATAAAGTAAGATTATTATTTTATGCTAGGCATGTACTCTGCAACTTTTTTTTTTTTTTTAAATTTTTATTTGTGTGTGTGTGGCCAGCTCAGCCCACCAGGGGGCGGGGCTGGCTGGCATGTGGTGCTGGGGGATTGAACCGCGGTCCCTGTGCTTTGCTAAGCTTGTCCTAAGTAGGTGCTTTAGACCACTGAGCCATCTCACCAGCCCCTGCAACTTTTTTTTTGACATGGGTCTCTATGTAGTCCAAGCTGGCCTCAAATTTGTGGCACTCCTCCTGCCTCAGCCTCTTGAGTACTAGGATTATAAGCATAAACCATTAATCTGGCTAAGTGCTCTACTACTGGAGGAGGTATGTTCCCAGCTGTTTTTTAAATTTTGAGACAGGGCCAGGGAGATAGCTCAGTGGCATAAGTGCCTGCCTGGCAAGTGCAAGGTCCTGAGTTTGATCCCCAGTACCACAAAAACAAAAAACCAAAACATACCAAAATAATGAAGAAGAAGAGGAAGAGGAGGAGGAGGAAAATTAAGGTGTAAGCTCAGTGGAAAGCTCAGTCCTGAATACTAGAAACAAATTATTTTTTAAGTTTTGATCCCGGGGATTGAACTCAGGACCCTGTGCTTGCCAGGCAGGCGCTTATGCTGCTGAGCTATCTCCCTGGCCCTTGGAAACAAATTTAATAAAAGATCCAAAGAAATAATCAGGCAGATTTGACAGAAGGCCAAGTGGAATTTCTATAAATGAATAACAGTTACTGAAATCAAGCATCAGAAAAGGCAACCAAGTGAGAAAAATAACAAGGGGCATTAGCAGTCGAGGCATGGACATTATCTCGGTCACTTTTCTCTTATTGCTGAGACAAAATACCCGACACCCAAAATGAGGGAAGGAAAGATTTATTTAGCTCACAGTTTGTGGAGGTTTCAGTCCATACTCAGCTGGCTCCAAGGCAGAGTGGCACATGGCAGAGGGCAGCAGTTCATGGTGGCGGAAAGCAGCAAGAGTAGAAAGGGAGGAGCAGCAGCAGGGAGCAAGCCTCTCTCCCTTAGGTTGCATTCACACTATCTGCCCCAGGGCCAGTGCAGCGCTCACACCCATATCACAGCACTGGATTATGAATGAATCACAAACTCTAGAGGCTCACCCCAGGACTGCATGAGGCTTTGGGGGGGGACATCTAGACACAAACTATAACATATATTGACTTTGTGACCAGATACTAGGCCTGGGTGACACAGCAGTCAGGAATCCCAGCCATCAGAGGCAAGCATGATGGTGCACACGTGGCAGCAGGAGGCTGAAGCAGGAAGGCTTGCGCCCTACCCAGGCAATTTAGTGACTTTGCTGTCTCCAAATAAAACATTAAAAAAAGACTGAGGAGGGCTGGGGAGATAGCTCAGTAGAATAAGCGCTTGCCTGGCAAGCACAGGGTCCTGAGTTCAATCCCAGTACCGGAAAAAAAAAAAAAAAAAAAAAGGAATGGGGATGTAGCTCATTGCAAGGGCCTAGGTTCAATACTCAGTGGTGGCCAATAGAGCTGGATAGGAGGTAGTATGGTGAGTACTGCAGCCCATTCAGAACCCTGTAGTGTGGTGAGGAAGATGGTACAGAATCCCCCCCCCCCTTTTTTTTTTTTTTGTACCAGGAATAAAACTCAGGACCTTACACTTGCCAGGTGGGTGTTATACCACTGAACTATTGTATCCCTGGCCCAGAAATCCTTCAGTTTATTATTTCATTATCTTTCACTTCTGAACCACTTCACTGAAATTCTTCTATGAAATGCAGGCTAAAAAAAAAAAAAAAAATGCAGGCCAGCAACTTTCTCCACCATCCTAGAATCTTGATAAGATGTGGGATAGGAGGATGAGAAGAGAGAACACAGAAAGCCAGGGAATGACCACATGATAGTCTCCCTAGGTGTAGGTTTTCTCCAGGTCCAATACTTAGGCATATTTGAATTTTTTTTCTTGTAGTGCTAGGGATTGAACTCAGGCTCACATGTGCTGGGCAAGTGCTCTACCATGGAGCTACATCACCAGCTTCACATTTGAATCATTGTTATTTTTGGATATTTATTTGTTTCATTTTTATTTGTATTTATTTAGTATTTTTGTTTTAGTAAGGGTCTACAGGGTCTCACTATGTAGGTCGGACTCGTAGTGATGTGCCTGTGTTCAACCTCCCAAAGAGCTGGGATTACAGGCTTGCCCACCATGCCCAGTCTCAGTTGCTGTCATTGGGGGCACCCCTCACCCGATATCAAAACCCGGCTGCTGCGGCTGCCTAAGCAGGCACTTTAATCCGCTGAGCTATTTGGCAGGCCCTATTTGCTTCATTTTTAGTACCCACTCTTAGATTCCCTTTACAGTCAACATGCTATGATCCATGCTTTTGTGTGTGTGTGTGTGCGTGCGTGCGTGCGTGTGTGTGCGTGTGTGTGGTGCTGCGGTCCTTCAGCAATCTAGGCAAGAGAAGGCATGGGCCCTGCAGCCAGTGCAACCCCAGTCTTTCTTTTTGGAGTCAGGGCTTGATCTCGATTCATAGTCCAGGTGCCCAAGTGCTCTCTCTATAGAGCCCAGGCTGGTGCCCTGCATGCTGGGATTACACACTTAGGCCTCTGAACCCAGCCATGGTTTTAATATCCAAATTGTTCCACATTTGGTCAGTTAGCATCCTTTGTGCTGACTCCTGTGCTTTTGAATATTTTGTCCTTATTTTTTAAGCAATTTCTTACTTTTGGGTTCAACAAGATGTTCCAGACTAA